ATGGAATATCAGACTAAACTAGACTCTTTAAAAAAAAACCAAACCAGTGATAAACACACATTCTGGTCTTTTAGTGCAAAGTCTGATCTTAGAGGCATGTTACATATTTTTGTCAAAAGATAGATATTATACCATCAAGATTTTTTAAAGTTATCAGATGGATGCTGGATGTGGTGATATGTTGGTTGTCAATTTGAACATCTTTTGTTTATGGTATTTCCCTATTCTCCGACACCCTTCCTGACAGTATCTGTTCAGGTATGGGTCCCTACGTCCTATCTTCTGCTGTGAAAATGGATGTAACTATTCCTTCATCTTCTCATCAATCTCCTTTAGTATTATTTTAATTTAATTATCATGTAGTAATCCAATGGCCTGTCTACTCAATTTCCTATTTTTGGTTATGTTAGACTTAACATCATGAGACTACACCCTCAAAATACTTTCTTGCATCCTTTACTTCTTCTTTTTCACCATTCATATGTCTTCTCCTCCTGCCTTCATTTGGGCAAGTCTTCCAGTTTGTGAAGCAAGTTTCCATGACAGCACTTGTTAACCATGCACACCATATATACTCCAGGACTGGAGAAGAGCAGGCAAGCTAAAGTGACTTGGTGTTTTTGGTAATGTTGGATGATGAAAACAATGATGATGATAATGGCAACGATGTAAAGTTAGGGGAGATTTAGTATTCATGGAATGCACTGGATTTGTTCTTGCACAGAGGACAAGACTGTAATTGGAGTTTCGGCAGTAATGTTATGGTGAGAAGTGCTAAGTTTCCTTCAAAAGTGAAAGGGAAAATTGTTTACATCTGGAAAATATAGCATGTAGGAGGAAAGAAAAGAGTGGTACTTGTCACCAATGACATCACTAGCACTAACCCAAAAGTGCCTCTGGCATGCCAGAACCACATTCCACGCTTTACATGCTCCTGCAGTTGACATGCTGTCTGGGAGAGGAAGTACTTTTTACCAGCAATAAAAACAAAGAGCTATTTTGTGCTGAGAAAATGTTATTTCCCTATAAACAGAAGCAATAGTTCAAATGGTTGCCCAAAATGTGCGCAGACTGTAAATGGATGAACTCCTGTGCCAAAAGGATCTAGTATATTCCTGAAAATATTAAAAGACTGAGAAATTATTTAATTTAATGTTAAGACTATCATCTTTCCAGTCTAGGAAACAGTCGTTTCCCTGAATTTATTCTGCAAGTGTTTCAGAATTTGTATTCTGCTAAAGAGGACAAATGTTCCTCTTCCCTCATCCTCAGAATCATCTTGTCCCTATAAACAATGCTTTAAGAAGATAACTTGCTTTTGAAGCTGTTTGTGTAGGTCAGGTGTCATCTCTTGCAATAATCCTCATTCTTTGCAGCAATGCCTCAGCCAACTCCAATCCTCTACTTCATCTGCAACTGAAAGATAACTCGGCTTTCGAAGAGGCATTGTTTGAAGTAGCAGCATTTCTGTCTTCGAGAGGTCAAGCTGGCTGATTGCACAGAATTGGTTCTGTTATCTTTATTGCCCACTTCATTTGATGGATTCAGGGCAGGAAACAATTGTCCAAACAGCGTGTAGTATAGGATGTTAATATAAATGTCTTAGAGTTACTGGAGCGAATGGAAGAGAAAGCGCAAGTACTGTAAATTGAACACTATACTTATGACAAAAGGAGCATCCAAGAAATCACTTCATCTGATTCAGTGAGGATGTCTGTGAAACTAACCTTAAAAACAATACGACAGAAGTTTCTAAATGGGGTACATGTAATGTTACAACTAGCGTAGCTCAAGCAATTCCAGGGTGTTTGTGTTAAGAGCAACACCTATTTTATTAATGCTAAGCATTAGTAACTTAAATGTCATCTGCATTTAATTTCACTACATACTGCCTCTTTATACTCCCCCCACACACACACACACACAATTAACCATCTATATAAATAAAAATGTAATGTTTGTTTGTGGGATTAGCATAACTCAAAAACCACTGGATGAATTGACACCAAATTTGGCCACAAGACACCTACTAACCCAAGGAGTGACCATCACTCAAAAAAAAATATGAGTTTGTCATTTGGGAGTTGTAGTTGCTGGGATTTATAGTTAACCTACAATCAAAGAGCATTCTGAACTCCACCAATGATGAAATTGAACCAAACGTGGCACACAGGACTCCCATGACCAACAGAAAATACTAGAAGGGTTTGGTGGGCATTGATGTTGAGTTTGGGAGTTGTAGTACACCTACATCCAAAGAGCACTGTGGACTCAAACAATGATGGATCTGAACCAAACTTGGCACGAATATTCCATATGCCAAACTAGGAACACAGATGGAGTTTGGGGGAAATAGACCTTGACATTTGGGAGTTGTAGTTACTAGGATTTATAGTTCACCTACAATCAAAGAGCATTCTGAACCCCACAAACGATAGAATTGGGGCAAACTTCCCACACAGAGCCCCTATGACCAATAGAAAATACTTAAGGCCATCCAGTCCAACTCCCTTCACCAGACCAAGAAAATGTAATCAAATACTGTTTATCCACAAGCATAAAGAAATGACATATATTAGAAACCAACACTTTCTCGTTACTTTATTTTCCAGATCACAAGACTGGGCCACAGTGTGGGAGGAGATGGCTAGTGTGTACCTATATATAATGACAGCTCATGATCACACCATGTATCTGAAGAAATGGATTCCAGTTTTCATTACATTTTTAACGGCTCTTTTGAGATACAAGTACCATTTAGATCAGTTCTGCCCTGGGGTTTCAAAGTACTCAAAAAAGCTTTTAACACATTGCTGACCTTAACCAGACACTCATACAGACCAAGTCTCATCATGATTCAATATGAAACAGTCTGCTTAGACCAGAACACTACATAGCAGGTGCCATTTCTTCCTCACAGTATCCATCTTCAAACAACCAATTGACTAAGGGGTGCATAGTGGGCCCTTGATATCTGCTTTTCCAGGATGCCCCATGGATGCTCCAGGATCCCGTTATATACAATGCCATTGTAAAATGGCATTCATTTTATATAAAATGACAAAATCAAGTATTGCTTTTTGCTTGTTTTCTTTTTTAATATTACAAGATGTGGATGGTTGAACCCATGGATACAAAAACTATGGATATGAAGGGCTGACTGCATATGTTACTTGGATACTTGCCTGAGAAATAAAACATTTGTACTTGCCATCACTGCTGTTACTTCATTGATTCCTTCTATGGAACACTAGGAGCCAGCAACACAGAAATATATGGTTTGTACACAACCTGGAACATAAGTTATATATCTTTTGAAGGGCTCTTTCAGACACTGCATTATAAAGTCTGCAGTCTTTACTTGGAAGTATCATTTTCATCTTACTCTTTCATTTCAGGATAAATGATAGTAAAATTGAACTAAAACTGACTAAAAACATGGTAACCATTTTTTTAAAAAAAACTAATATAAAAAGCTCAATTAAATAACATGGACGATTGGTCAGCTTATGCATAACTGTCTCTGTGACTGATTCCCTTGACTTTTGCTATTTTCCACCAGTAATAGCAATAGCAATAGTTGTTATTATTTTTTAAATAATTCAAGTATTTACTAGAGGAAAACTAATGTGGAGATAGTCTTGTGTACAAATTTATAATCTACGAAACATGAGACGATAGAAAAGACAGTGCAAATGGAAAATGGAAACAAGGGAGATGAAGAGACACAATAATAATAAAAACAGTAGACATTACTTTTGAATAACTATGCAGGAAATTAACCCTATTATAAGATATGAATAAAACAATAAACATTCTCCGGTAAGTTGAAGAGACAAGCCTGCACTTGTGACCAAAAGGTCATCAAATTAGCAATTCTCTGCTATGAAAATGTCAAAGTAATGCCTTGGTGCCTTTTCAGTTACACATAAATACAATTATGGACCTTATCACACTAGAGGATGAATCCACTTTAAACCCGGTTTCTGCCTCCTGCAGTATTCTGGGGTTTGTAGTTTAGGGAGGAGCCTTTAACAATCTCACTAAACTACAAAGCCCAGACTTCTGCAGGAAGCAGATACCGGATTTAAAGTGTGACGAAGAGGTATGTCTGGTTGTAGTACTGGGAAAGCAAGAACATAATGCTCCCCACTCAAAGCTAACACAGTAGGTTGATGCCTCTCTAGATCCTGTCTGAGATTGAGATTCCTTGCAGCTACTAAATTTTAGCATGAAACCTTAATGCTGGTTCTTTGCAGCACAATCCCATGGGTCCAGCAATGAATTGGGCTGTTTTAGCCAGTGGTTTATGGGAGCTCTAAGTCTCTACATGGTAAGTGTAAGCAAGGGAGGAGTGGCTACACTTTTAACAAAATGGACCTGTCACACAGGATAATCCTAATGGGTTTAAGCGAATGTGCTCAGGGGTAAGATCCTATGTGACTAAGAGTAAATAATGCTTGCCCTATATATAGCTGGCCCAAGGCGGAGGGATGGGTGGGGAGGCATATCCCCAGGCCAGTTTGCAGGAGTCCAGCACTGGAAACCACTAATGAGTGTCCAGTTCCTCTCCAGCGCAAAGAATTCTTATATAAGCCCGAGGAGATTGAGTTGGCTATTTGTCAAGTGATGCCAGTTTAGATCCTGTGCCAAGAGCAGCACCCCATTTGGCTCATTCCATTGGAAGAGCTAATTAGAGGCAAGGGAGAGCAGCTGAGGGCAAGCGCAGCCAGCAAGAAACAGAGCAAAGGGGCTTATGTGCAGCAGCAGGCCAAGAAGGGGAGGGGATTCCAGAACTGGATGGACACCAGTGCCCTTGGGAGCTGCCTGGTGCTGGGGAATACGGAAAGACATAGGGGAGACCTCCCCTTGTGAGACCTCCTCCGGGGGGGAAAGGCTGCCCCACTGTGGTCCAGGTGGCTTCTGCTGAGCCACAGCAGCTCCTCATCTGCAATTGGGAGAAGCACAGTGGAACGGAGGGCTGGAGGTAAGAACTGGGCCAGGTGCCCACAAGGAGATTAGTGTGGCATACCCTCCGTGGCTATGTGGGCGTTAGCTAATCCATGATCCCCTGAGTGTGGGGAGGGGGGTTCACAGGGCATGTGGGGAAATCAGGTGGCAATTGTTCTCTCAGCCCCAATTCAGGATGAAAAGTGCTGTAGCTCAATGGGAGAGCACACATTTTACATTCGAAGGGTTTCAAGTTGAATCCCCAGTATCTGCAAGTAGCAGTGAATTCATAATGCTGCTGATAGTCAGTGTAGACTAGGGTTGGTACCAAGTGTTCTTTCTACCCTGCCCCCCAACCTATGGAGGGGTGAAAATTGATTCCCATACTTGCCAAAGTTGCTCATCCCTAGTATAGTTGGTATCAAGCTACGTAGATTAGTGATCTGACTTTTAAGACTGTAAGAAGATAGTGTAGACAGCTAAGGTAAGTGGACATGTATGTTACATTCTTCTGGTAATATGGAGTATACAGTAAACCCTACAAATTCACCAGGGTCAGGGGGACAGGGCTCCCACGAAAGTGGAAAAACTGCAAATACAAAGCTGCTTTTTGCTTTTTTAAAATTTAAGAAAACACCTAAGAGAACGGCCCTCCAGTACAACTCTATGGTCAATATCTGACAGAGGTTGATCACTGGATTGCATTCAAGAACCCCGAGATTCCTAGAGAGGACACTTCAATCAAACCCACACATAATCAAATCAGCAAAAGCTAAACGTCCACAAATGGAGAAGGCTGATTGCACTTGCTCCATTGGCTCTGGTTGGTGCAAGGAAATAATTACACCCTTTTTTACAATGCACACTGGCCTCTCTTCACCTAACGACTGTGCTCTAACACCCACAATTCCTCAACATCATCTCCAAAAAGACTTGGAACTAGGAACTGGAATCACTTTATCAGGCAAGAATGAAAGTGGGAACAGCCTATTGTACTACAGCCTACAGCTGTGGTTCTCAACCTGTGGGTCCCCAGGTATTTTGGTCTTCAACTCCCAGAAATCCTAACAGCTGCTAAACTGACTGGGATTTCTGAGACTTGTAGGCCAAAACACCTGGGGACCCACTGGTTGAGAACAACTGGCCTATAGGATCGGAACATGGATCAGGGGTTGGGTCTACTGTGGCAGCACCATAGGAAGGTCCATGGGGGCTGCTTGCTGTCATGGTGCAATAGCTTTTAGAGGTTTGGGCATCATTGGGCAAATGGAGGTGCCCAGAGTAAGGAAATGAGTAAAAGCCATCTCTAGTTCTGTGCCACCCAAGCAGCAAGTACAGGTGAGCAGTTAACAGGTGAATGGAATCCTGGGATTTGCAGTTTTGGGCACTTGCAATGTGTGACATCTTCTTTCCAATGCTGCAGTGGAGTAACCCAAGAGAGGATGTCCCAAAATTAGGAATGTGACAGAGAATATCTAGTCTGTCATTCCAATCCTGTAAAAGTGGTTGTTACATGGACAATAATCCCGACCTCAACATTTGTATGCTTTTTCCTATTATTGCTCTTCATCAGTTTGTTCCTCTCCATCAAATCCTACTCTTGTTATTGTGATGTGGAGCAACCCTGAGTTTTCAGGGTTATGCCAACTGTGTGTTACCACCTGGCAATTTCCACCAGGATGATTATATGTTTTGTACAACCTGAGACAGGAGCTGTGTGCTTGTGTTCAGAATACCAGCCTAGCCAAATGCTGAGAGAGTTGCCACCAGAAGAATGGCTACCAGGCATCTTTCAGCACAAAGTGATTATAGCTTCATGATTCCACTTCAAGTGTCCTGGCAACATTCAATGGAATCCTGGGATTTGCAGTTTTGGGAGGGGCACTTAAAGTTCTCAGCCAGCAAACCCTAGTGACTCAATGAAGTACAGGCCTAAGGAATCCATCAGATGTGGTGACACTTAAAGTAGAATAGACCATAGTACCAAAATTACTGTGTGAAAGAACCCTAGTAGTACATCAAAACTAAGCATAGAATTGTTGCCATCAACATTGATGGTCAGAGAATATCAACATTGACATAATCTCAGATCTTCAGAGTGTTCACAGCATCTCTGTGGTTCAGCATTCTCCAAACTGGTATCCTCCAGATGTATTGACCCACAACTTGTACCACTCCCAATGGTCATCCATGAAGTGAGTTGTGACCCTAACACATCTGGAGCACACCAGTTTTGAAAAGACTCTCTCCACTCCCTCTGATGCCATCTACACTAACCACTTAATCCAGTTTCAACTCGGTATTGAAGAAAAGGGTTTTGCTGTGCAGATGATTACACTGGAAATCCTAAAACTGGTTTGAGGCACTCCCACAGTTCCTAACAGCCTACCGGAAACTTACAAGCTTCCTTCTTGGGAAGCTTTTAAGCAGAGGCTGGATGTCCATCTGTCGGGGGTGCTTTGAATACGATTTTCCTGCTTCTTAGCAGGGGGTTGGACTGGATGGCCCACGAGGTCTCTTCCAACTATGATTCTAAACCCCAAGCAACTGGAGGGCCCAAGTTTGCCCATGCAATACTGAACACTGAATGCAGCTCGAAGCTAACTTCAAATTGCGGCAGCACAAGAGCGGGCAAAAGAAAGCCTTCATCAAGCGCTCTGCGGCTAGTGCCCGGGCCTCAAACTGGTTCCAGGATTTCCCTATAGACTCATCTGCATTGTAAAGACCGGGTTTGGAACTGCGCGAAAGGCTTAGCGCGGAGAGAGCGCGGACAGGTAGCCCAGCCCTTGATCCCACCTGGTGGGGCTGAGGTGGGCGCCTGCGAGGGGAGTGGGTGGGGGTCACACCGGGGATGCTGCCGCCCCTCCGGTGCCTCCCTCCCCCCTCCTGCGCCTCCGCCCCGCCCCTCCCGGGGATCAGGTGACGGCGGCGGCTGGAACCCGACACCGCCAGAGTGCTCTCGCCAGGCGCGGCCATGGAGCCGGTTCTCGCCTCCCGTCCGAGGGCCTTGGGCTGCGCGCCCCCGGGGCTCCTGCCCGCCAGTCCGGCCCCGCGTGGATGGGCTTCCCTGCATCGGCCCCGCGGGCAGCGCGCCCCCCTCCGCCGCTGCCGCTCTCACCGCTTCTCCGCCCGCAGGGGGAGGCCTGGACCCGGGGGCGCCTGCCGGCCATGTGAACCACGGGGAAGGGTCCCGGCAGGAAAGGGCCATGGCCCCCGGGGGCGGCGGATGAGACGCGGAGGAGCTGCTGCTGCTGCTGCTGCTGCTGCCCAGGAGGCGCCACCGCCGAGAGGTAAGGGCAGCGGCGGGTCTTCCTTGGGGAAAGGCGGAGGTGGGGAGGGAGCGGGCTTCCTAGGCGGGAGGCCAGACCCGCACGAGAAGAAGGGACGGCGGGACGGCGCTTCTTCCCCGTGGGGGGGTCCCGGCTGACCGTGTCTCTCTGGCGCAGGGAGCGGACCCGATGCCCAGGCAGGAGGGCCGGCACCCGAGGGCAGAGGGAGGCGCTTCCCGGCCCGTTTCCTCGGAGCATGGTCCCCGCAGAGGAGCCTCCAACGCGCCCAGCCAGAGGCGCCCCTTCGGCCCAGACGGCGCCCACGGTGAGTGAGAGAGTGAGAGAGCGACGGGCCGGCGAAGGAGGCTCGCTCGGGGCTTTGGGACGGAGGTGCGGGATGGGGCTTCGTGGAGGGAGCCGCGAGTGGATTCAGAGCCAGGCCTCCCGTCCAAATGGTCCCGGCAGAGCCGAGATGAGATGGGCACCGTGGTGCCAAGATCGGAGAGAGGTGCTGGGGACTGTAAAGCCCTCAAAGGTTCCCGGAGGCTCCGTAGTGTGAGCTCCTCTCGGCTTTTTCCCTTCACTCATCCGGATTTGTGTAAGGGAAAGCGACGAGGACTGTTGTGCCCCAAAGGTCTCAAGGCGGGCTTCTTTTCTTTCGCCCCAAAAGCGAGAGAGCTGGCCCGGGCTCCTCTCCGCTTCTCCAGCCACTCGTCCGGATTTGATTAACTGAGAGAGAGGGGGACTGTGGTGCGATTAACTGAGAGAGGAAGGCTGGTTGTGATGCGGATAACTCAGAGAGAGATGGAGACTGAGGCCTGGAAAGGACTCCAGATAGTCCTGTCTCAAGGTGGGCTTCTTTCCCTTCTCACCAGTGAGGTCGTCCAAACTTCTCTGGCCACTCATCTGGATTTATTAACGGAGAGAGATGGGGATTGTGGTGCAGATAACAGAGAGAGAGAATGGGGACTATGGAGCAAGTAACTGAGAGAGAGCTGGAAACCGTGGTGTGAAGAAGGCTTCAGATAGTCCTGTCTCAAGGTGGGCTTCTTTCCCTTCTCTGCTCACTAGTGAGGTGGTCTAAGCTTCTCTCTGCTTCTCTGGCCACTCATCTGGATTTATTAATGGAGAGAGATGGGGATTGTGGCGCAGATAACTGGGAGAGAGAATGGGGACTATGGAGTAAGTGTGTGAGAGAGGGAGCTGGAAACCCTGGTGTGAAGAGGGCTCCAGAAAGTCCATCTCAGGGCTTCTCTTTTCCCAATTGCAAGAGAAGTGTTTCAAGCTTCTCTCCACTTCTCCAAACTCTGTGGTGCTTTCATCCCAGGCCTATCAGGCAAAGACTCACTGCTTGTTCCAGGACAACTTCCAGACATGGCTCAAAAAGGAGAGATCCAAATCCAAACAGTTCTTGACAGCCTCTTAATGTACCAAACTTTAGAGGCTGCTTTTCTGGTGCATCACTTTCCTACTTAGCAAAAAGCATAACTTATCACAGGAGGACTTCCTTCAGAACAAATATGCCTAGGATTGCTGTGGAAATTGTCTCTCTGGACCATTTATCCTTAGTGGTGCCTGTTCTGGGTTGACACTTGATGGCTCCCTAGCAGATCAGTCCTGCTCAAGCAGAGTTTTGGTTGCCGCCCAGGGCAACAGTGGCATCAGGTTGCAAATCCTGCCTTAGAGAGTTTGCTCACTGAGCCTGGTAGCTCTTGTGTGGGGTAATTTAGGTTCTGCTTGTAGACAAAACAGGCATGCTACATTGTTCCACCAGAAGATGGGTGTTCAAGACCACCATCCAAAATGCACAGGTTACCTTGTGTTTCTAGCCACCAGGGTTCTGCTGCAGGTGAGCAGGATGTGCTGTGTGTTGGCTGCTTGCCAGTTTTGAGGAATGCTTTCTTTGTAACTACTCTTTTGTTTTGGAAAATAAATATCAGGCAAACTTCCTGCAAAAATTCCTGCAGCTCTGCAACAGGTTGCCTTAGAGTCTCCCTTTCGACATGTGATGATAGTTTAAGTCACCCTTAAGGGGAGATGCCCTCCTTCTGTCCCCATGTATTTTCATCCCAGAGGTATGCTTGCAATTGCTCAAAGCACCAGCATCCTTGCAGTCTCTTGAAAATAGCTCCATAGTCTTCTCTTAGAACGCCTTGAATCGAGACTGCAGCTCCTCCTTAAAGTAAAGGTAAAGGTTTCCCCTTGATATTAAATCTAGTCGTGTCTGACTCTGGGGGGTGGTGCTCATCTCCATTTCTAAGCCGTAGAGCCATCATTGTTCGTAGATGCCTCCTAGGTCATGTGGCCAGCATGACTGCATGGAGCGGCGTTACCTTCCCGCCGGAGCACTTCCTATTGATCTACTCACATTGCATTTTTTCAAACTGCTAGGTTGGCAGAAGCTGGGCCTAAAAACAGGAGCTCATCCTACTCCCTGGATTTGAACTGTCAACCTTCTGGTCAGCAAGTTCTGCAGCTGGTGACACAGCCCCTGCTGTGTCACCAGGGGCTCCTCCTTAGTATTCACTATTTTGTGTTTATCAAATCACCTTTGATAAAAACAAGAATGGTGGTCACTGCTCCATGCTTGCCTGTTTCACTCTCACAAACCGTGTCTCAAACAACCCTCCCTGATATGGGGATATGGCACAAACAGCCCCTCAGTGATGAAATTAAACTACTACTGGGTAATACAAAATTAGAATTACGTACCATTTCCCAGTTATGCAAGCATGCAATCAAATCTTCTGCAATGACCCTAATAGTCCTTCATAAGCGTGGTCCTTCATATGCTTCTCTTATTTAGTATTAACCAATGAGTCTACCTATCCATTCCAAATCTTATGCTTATGGGTGACCTTTTTTTGGAGGGGCGGTGACTGAAGCAGCGTTCCTTGCTCTTATGTAGTGATGCTAGTAGAGATCCAGTTCTCCAGAGTTTCCACTGAGGCAGATTAGTCTAATTATGGCCAATTGGCTTATGTATAACAGTCAGTGGTGTCATGGCTTTCCCACTCAAAGGTCTTGGGAAAAGTGAAATATTTGTCTGAAGCTTCTAGAATAGTTGCTGAAAGCTGATTATTCCCAGAAGATTTACAATCAATTGGTTATTACTTTGTGCTGGTTTGCATGATATGGAAGCATACTTCGATGGTGTCTCAGTTTTTATACGGCTGAGAACTCTGCCATGCTTTCGCTAGCTGGCAGATCATGAAAGCAAACAGTAGTCTTCATTTTGGCATTCATCTGTGTCCCTTGGGATGTTTCTGGCCCAGCTTGAAAACCTGGAAGAAGTTAGAAAATTATCTATTCTGTTGCAGAAGCAGGTCACCTGGTTTTCCTGCCAAATGCTACATTCTCTTGGGGTAACCTGTTAAGGCGCTCATGCTGGTGGTGGGCATGACAGAAGCCCACTCCTCTCTCTTTATTTTCTTATTTTTCTCTGTTGCACATACTCCTCACCTAAGGATCTTCTAAGGATGAAAAATATCCCTCCTGCTGAGACCTGACTTGCAGTTGGTTTTTGAAATTAGACAAAGGCCCACATGCAGCACTAAGGCCACCAATTGCCCACTCCTATTCTACATGTTGAAGCTTGGAAGATGGTAGGACAGAGAAGGACATCCTAGAGCATTTAAGGTCATGAAATGTTTCTTCTGTTTCTGCAAGAAGCTTACCATTTTCACAACTAGCTTTAAAGGCATTCTGTTGTACCTCTAAACCACTTTAGATTCCTTGATATCAAAGTCTGGAGAATCGGGATCTCTCTTCCAGCCCCTAAGATAGAGCAAGGGGTCTCCTTTCTTCTTATCCCTTGCGTGTGGTCAGTTTAAGAAGCAGAAAAAAATCTTGTCCTGTGTTGCCACCTTGTGGGATCCAGTAAAACTGCACCTTTTTGGAAGCTGAAGAAAAGAGTCCAGATGTTTCTTCACCATGAGGAAAATTAACCTGGTCAAATTCCAGTCTCTAGCACTGGGGTGATGTGGGCAACCTTCATCAGGCACAAAAAAAAGATATGTTGTAGAGCACTGTCTTCTGTTGTCTCTGTCTTGGTCACTGGGAAACTGTTCCATGGGATTCCAGGTCAGAAGGCAGAATGTAAATGAAGGGACCAAAGATGATGGGTATGTATATCTGTATCTGTCTAGTTATAGATCCTTAGAGTACAGGAGGTCCCTGTTCAGAAATAAAATTCAGCAAAACTACATCGGAAGGAGACAAAATGTTCTGTGAAAAAGAAAGCTGACGAGATCACCCAAATCATGGTAGCTGCACACGCAGAGAGAAAGAGCCAGTACTTTGTAGTGGTTTCAGCACTGGACTACGTCTCTAGATTTGAATCCCCACGCAGCCATGGAAACCCACTGGTCTTGGGCAAGTTAGTCTCTCACACCGGAGAAAGGCAAAGGCAAACTCCTCTGAACAAATCTTTTAAAGAAAACTCTATGATAAGGTCAACCTTAGCGGTGTCATAAATGAGCAACAATTTAAAGGCATTATGGCTAAAGCAACAATAACAACAACCATCACAGAGGGGACCCCATGGGTAAACAACTCATTTGTATTATTTTTCTTTACCTATGAAAACCCTTACAAATTTGCCAAAGTCCTTGTATATGTACCACTTTTAAGTGTTCGCTGCTTGGGATTATTTTTTCTCAAGCTAGATCTTATCACAGTTGGAGTTAGTCAGGAAGCCCTACTGTGCTTGGCATGGCCATTGGCTGAGGAATCCTGGGAGTTGCCCAAAAGTTTCCAAGCTCTGAGGTTCCTATGCAACTGGCATTGGTTGCTTTTATATAGTTGGAGATAATCTTGCAAGACAGGAAGGAATTATCAAGTGATGCAAAGATGGGGAAGGTTGACAATTTACTTAGGAAGTTGTAGAAGCAGAAATTAGGTTACTCCACCAGAGAAGCGGGCTCTAGTTCCTGAACTGTGTCTTTGTGTTGCAGGTAGGATGGAGTGGAGAGTGGAGGAGCCAAGGTACAGATCAGACAGATCTCTCTCTGCCTACAGGAGCTGGCCTGCTCAACAAGTACGATACAAGGTGAGTTCATTTTTCTGGACAGTTGACTTGCCATGAAAGCACTAGCTAAAGAGACCATGGGCAGCTGCAGAGCCCCCTGCTTCAGAGACGTTTCTGTCCTCTTCCAAAGTATGACAGAATGGGTCCTTTCTTTTTTACATCATTCTCCTTTGGTCTGACATTTTATTTCTGTGTAGACCAGTTTATGCTTTCCTGGGATCCGAATCTCACAGAACCATTCATTGCAGACAGCATTTTTTTTTTTACACATGATGAATTCAAATGTGTTGATTTTACTGTATATGTATATAGCTGTCACACTTTGACAGGGCTTGGAAATATTAATTCTGAATACTAGTACCCCCAGAATCCTACAGCTGTCATGGACACTAGTTATGATAGTTTGGAGATTCTACGAATTGCATTTCCTTGTTCTGCTTCTCATGGTACTTATGATGAGACAAACTCTTTTTTTTCATTTTTATATATAACAAAATGCATATGGTTGCATTTTCCAACACAGAAGAGATGACCATGAGAGAATCTGTAAAGTGGTCCTGAAACACTTGCATTTTGCATCATCACTTTACTGCTATCATTTATTTCTAAGATTGCCCCCTAAATGTCTCTGTGCCTTACTGCTTTGACCATACTTACTGGAATGGGCCATTTTCTTTTCCCTAGGAGCCTGGACTGTGGAGCACACTCACTCTGCTGTCACTGTTTGCTGGAACCATCATGGCAACTCCACAGACTTGGCATCATAACCAGACATTGGGAGCAACCTCTGAAGGCATGGGCATTGCCAGCCCTGCCCCCATGGAGGAAAAGAACAGGGAAGCCCTATCCCTGGGTGCATGGAGCAACTGGCATGGTAGGAACTTAGAATGTCCTGATTGGTTGAGACCTACACTTCTTCTATTGGGATTCCCAGTCAAAATTTCTAGCTTACTTTTCTTCATGTGTTCTACTTTGATATTTCACTTCTGTAATTTACCACACTTATTAGAGTTAGACAGCTAGTAATTTGGGGAGCAGATGAAATGGGCAGATAGTGTGGGCTGAGGGAGCAGCTATATACTTAATTCATGTATCATGTCCCTTTATTGTCTCATGGAGCCTAGCAGTCTCCCTGTGCCTTTCTTTTCTCTTGTGACTCACCTTTTTCTATCTCCTTTAGGAGAAAACGTGACTATACAAGGGTCCAGTGCCTCAGAATTGTTCAGGGCAGAACGTTCCCCAGCGGGTGCAACCAAAACCAGGAAAGGATCCAGAAAAACTGGGAGTGGGAGCCGCAGCCGCAACTGCCGCCTGCACAACCTGAGGTTGAAGGTCCGGGATCTGGGACTCGGCTTTGAGTCAGACGAGATTGTGAAGTTCAAGTACTGCAGTGGGTCCTGCCATCGAGACCGCACAAACTATGACCTCACGTTGAGTAACCTGCTGCGGCACGGTCACATCAAGCCTGGGTCTCATGAACGCCCCTCCTCCCATCCATGCTGTCGACCCACCAAGTATGAGGACTTCTCCTTCATGGATGTACACAATGCCTGGAAGACAGTGAGCCAAGTCTCAGCTGCAGAATGTGGTTGTGTGGGCTGAGGTGCACCATCTGCCGGAGCTCACAGAGTCACTGAAGTGACTGGTGTTTATGCTCCCATCGCAGGCCTGCCAAGAGTCCTACATGTCTGTGGTTCTTGGGATGAGGAGATGCACAGTCTGGAGTGCGGCTTGCCGGGCCAAAAGGAAGCAGCAGGTGAACAATAATTTGGAAGGGAGCACAGTATTCTTGGCTCAATGGGTCTAAGCCTTACAGGCATACATGTTGGACATCTTTCCAGTGTCCTCTTCATGCCTGCGACAGGATGGTGAAACTAAGCTCAGCCAAACCAGTGAAATCAGCAACGAGTGTCACTCTGGAAGGATCTTTCTTGTCAACAGTGTTGTGAATTTACTCACACATCAAGTCTCCTCCTTCAGTAGAGAACCATCACTGGAATTGGCCAAACCTCATTCAAAGGATGAGTGGGCAGGGAGGTCAACACAAAGAACTATGGTGCTAATGAGTAGCTCCTTAAGTGCCCCCTCCTTATCACTAGCCCTTCTTTAGCCAGTTTAAAGAAATAGGCTGCTTGTTAGGGTCACTCAGCTGCATCAGCTGCAAAGCACATGTAATCTCCACTTTTTCTCCATCTCTGTAACCTCCATTTCCTCTAGGAGCCTGGTGTAGCTCCATTGATGATGTAGTTGAGCATAAAGGCCAGTTCTGCAACCCTCAGTAGAAGCTTCAGGTCAGCTTACAGCTGTTCTTCTATACCTCCTCTGGGTTCTGGAGACTCAAGTGATTGCTACTGTCATCCATCCTGTGCTAGGATAGCCAGCTTATTGTCTGAGAACTGAATGGCATACTTTCCTGGTTTTGTTCTGGGTTTTTCTTCCTTCTTAAAGTTTTTGATCTAGTTGGGGAGCTTTTTCTCATGAGAACAAGCTTGCAGCAGGTGGAATATAGAACATACCCAATGTGGAGCTGATCAGAAAGCACAGCTGTTGAAGTCTCTGATTCTACAGAACAGTCAAATCATATGCAGCTAGAGAAAGGGCTTCTCTGATAAATCTATGATGGTGTTAACTTTCGAATTTGCAACATTCCCTGCTACACCAGCTATAGCTTGGAGTTTGGCCGCTGCACATTTGTCAGGCTAGCTCTGAAAGCAGCAAGAGTCCCTGACATTTCTTGGGCTGCCATCTCTTGATACCAGCAGGGCAGCCCATCCACTCTAGAACTGACACTTTCTGAACAAAGTTATTTATTCTCTTAAGTTATTTATTTATTTGTTTGCACCCCACTCATCTCTGGTGGCACCTATTTATAATGCTGAGAACCAAGACTGGGGTAACATTTAAAGCAGATGCTTTGCCCCAGCCTGCAGCCAGCAGCTCTGTGTCCTTTCCCCCCACTCGATCTAAGCAAAGGTATCTCCCATTCCTCCTTTCCTGGTTTTGTATTCTCTACTCTTTATTTGCATTTGGATAAACTCTATTTTTGTACAGCAGCAACTTCTTGTAGCAATAAAGCCTGCTGAGGCAGTGCAAAATTGATTTTGTGTATATGATCATGCTGATGTGTGAGAAAACAACTATGGCCAGTTTAATTCATAACTATAGGCCTTGCATCAAAATGTGAATCAAATGCAGGTTCAGGGCATGCATTGGAGTATTTTGTGTTGTTTTATTCACACTGTTTTTCATGCAGTTTCTTTAACAATGCTTTACACGTTTCCAGTATTGAGCCAAGATTAAATGGGCAGCTATTACCACATTACTCAAAAGTAATGTTGTTGTGCATCCAGGGGTGAAGTAGTGAGGTATTTTGGTTAGGAGACATAATCTGTCAGTTTTGTCAGGCTCCCAGTTTTTCTCTGGACCTGGATACAGTCCTCACTAAGACAGGGTAGATTTATTTCTCCAACATTTAAATATTATGAGCTGTCCCTGGTGTAATTCAAAGTATTTTGGAATGCCTTGATTTTAAATGGCCAATTCAGAAACACTAACTTTATGAAAGGCCTATTCCTGTTAGAAATGAAAATTGCCAAGATATAGATTAGAAAATTGCTTTTTAATCTATATCAACACAGCAGTCTGTATTTTAGATGTACTATGCCTGCACTTCACAGTTTACTACTACACTATTGCTCAAAAAAGGGAAGAAACCTAGTGGAATGACTTTGTTCCACATATAAGAAGAGGTAAAAGAAAGAAGCTAAGAGCCACTTTAGAATCTATCAAACACTAGGCTATGCTATTTTCCCTCCATGCCCCTGGTAAAATTGGATGAACACGCAATACTCAACATAAGCTATTTCTTTGATATCAGTCTAAATGCAAAGGGATCGTGGATCTTAGAGGCTGCATACACTTTCACAAACTAGGTCTATTTCTTTATATAGTCTACAAAAGCTTATGACACCAATTTCTTTTTCTCAGCTCATCTGAAGGTGTGATCAAATCTCTGCATACTGATACTCCAGACTAACATAGCTATTTCTGAAATCTGCCACTAGTCAGAACAATTTGGAATTCTTTTTTTTTAAGAAACCTGGCAGAAAGCAAGTGCCAATACTAAACTCTTCTCTTCATGTTCTCTTTACCCTAACCCAGTGGTTCCCAAACTGTGCTCCTCCAGGTATTTTGAACTTCAGCTCCCAGAAATCACAGCCAGCTTACCAGCTGTAGGAATTGTGGGAGCTGAAGTCTGGAGAAGCATAGTTTGAGACCCATTGTCCTAACCCAGTGGTTCTAAACCTGTGGGTCTCCAGATGTTTTGCCCTTCAACTCTCAGAAATCCTAACAGCTGGTAAACTGGCTGGGATTTCTGGAAATTGTAGGCCAAAACACCTGGGGACCCACAGGTTGAGAACCACTGCCCTAACCTATACAGTCATGATATTAATTAGTGGCTGTTTTGATGGGTGTGTCTCCCATTTTATTAAATGTCTAATTTAAAGGAAGTTCCGTTTTTACAGGAGGTTGGGCAGAAGCAGCTTTGCCACAGCAGGGGTTGGAGGAAGATATTCAAGCAAAGAATGGACAAACCATTTTCAGGCTACTGCTTGGAATTGCTGCTTAAAAGTAAATTCTTTTATTTGGTTCACTTGAAAGACAACCTGCCTAATCTCCAGGATGACAGCCACGCTGCCTGTCTGAAATATGCATCCACCAGTCCTGAAGACAAACACCTTTATTACAACCCAAATTTTCATGGACTAGCATCCTAATACCCAATTAAACCTCACCATGAGCCTATGGGGTCATTTAGGTATTATCAAAATGGGTTTTTGTTTGTTTGTTTGGGGTTTTTTTGTTAAAAGTTGAAATGGAACAATTCAGCCCAAATGACAATTCAGCTCCAAAGACGGATGTTTAGCTTCATGTTACTTGTGTATGTGTGTGAGTGCTTGTCACCTGCTCATTTATGGTGATCCTATACATTTTATAGGCAAAAATGTATAGGCAAAAAGGCAAAATGGTTGTCTGCTGAGACACTGGAAGTAGCCCAAGAAAGGAGGAAAGCAAAAGGAAACAGTGAAGTAAACAGTGATGTGCAATTCCAGAGGTTAGCCAGAAGAGATAAGGAACTATTTTTAAACAAGCAATGCATGGAAGTGGAAGAAGACAACAGAATAGCAAGGACAAGAGACCTCTTCCAGAAAATTAGAAACATTAGAGTTAAATTTCAGGCAAAAATTGGCATAATAAGAAACAAAGATGGCAGGGACGTAACAGAAGCTGAAGAGATCAAGAGAAGGTGGCGAGACTATACAGAAGATCTGTATAGGAAGGATAATAATATCGAGGATAGTTTTGACAGTGTGGTGAATGAATTAGAACCAGACATCCTGAGGAGTGAGGTTGATTGGGCCTTAAGAAGCATTGCTAACCTCAAGGCAGCAGGAGACGACGGGATCCCAGCTGAACTGTTTAAAATCTTGAAAAATGATGCTGTCAAGGTGATGCATGCCATATGCCAGCAAATACGGAAAACACAAGAATGGCCATCAGACTGGAAAAAATCAACTTATATCCCCATACCAAAAAAGGGAAATGCTGAAGACTGCTCAAACCTTCGTACAGTGGCCCTTATTTCTCATGCCATTAAGGTAATGCTCAAGATCCTGCAAGTAAGACTCCAGCAATAAATGGAGCGAGAGTTGCCAGATGTACAAGCTGTGTTTAGAAAAGGCAGAGGAATGAGAGAACAAATTGCCAATATCCGCTGGATAATGGAGAAAGGCAGGGAGTTTCAGAAAAACATCTATTTCTGTTTTATTGACTTTTCTAAAACCTTTGACTGTGTGGATCATAATAAATTGTGGTAAGTTCTTGGTGGTATGGACATACCAAATCACCTTGTCTGCCTCCTGAGGTATTTGTATAAGGACCAATTAAAAACAGTCAGAACTGACCATGGAGGAACAGACTGGTTCAAGATTGGGAAAGGCGTACGGCAGGGTTGTATACTCTCACCCAACCTATTCAACTTGTATCAATACAGAACACATCAAGGCTGGGGGTGAAAATTGAATGCGAGGCTGGGGTGAAAATTGCTGGAAGAAACATTAACAACCTTAGATGTGCAGATGATACCACTTTGATGGCTGAAAGCGAGAAGGAGCCAAGGAGCCTTCTAATCAAGGTGAAAGAAGAAAGTGCAAAAGCTGGGTTGCAGTTAAACATCAAAAAGCAAGATTATGGCAACCAGACTGATTGATAACTGGCAAATAGAGGGAGAAAACGTGGAGGCAGTCACAACCTTTGTACTTCTAGGTGCAAATATTACTGCAGACGCAGACTGCAGCCAGGAAATCAGAAGACACTTGCTTCTTGGGAGGAGAGCAATGACCAATCTCGATAAAATAGTGAAGAGTAGAGACATTACACTGTCAACAAAGATCCGCATAGTAAAAGCAATGGTAATCCCCGTAGTCACCTACGGATGTGAGAGCTGGACCATAGGGAAGGCTGAGCGAAGGAAGATAATGCTTTTGAACTGTGGTGCTGGAGGAAAGTGCTGAGAGTGTCTTGGACCGCGAGAAGATCCAATCATTCATACTTCAGGAAATAACGCCTGGCTGCTCATTGGAGAGAAGGATATTAGAGACAAAGTTGAAGTACTGTGGTCACATCATGAGGAGACAGGAAAGTTTAGAGAAGACCATGATGCTGGGGAAAATGGAAGGTAAAAGGATGAGGGGCCGACTAAGGCCAACCAAGGCAATATACAAGCATGGGCAAATTTGGGCCTTCCAGGTGATTTGGGCTTCAACTCCCACCATTCCTCACAGCCTTAAGCGGCTGAGGGGGAAAAGGAAGGGGCCTGAGGCTGTGAGGAATAGTGGAAGTTGAAGCCCAAATCACCTGGAAGGCCCAAATTTACCCACACCTAATATACAATCACACAACTGTTAGAAACTTAGCGACTTTGTCCTCTTGTTCATATGTTTCAAATAGCAATGGCTGTCTTATCCAATAACTACTACGCCAACTCTAGCCTATATTACCTGAAAAAAATTCTTCTTCACTGGGCTGTTCCTTCCAGACTCAGAAGCGCTTCGCCATTTTCCCCAGCAGGTGGCGCAACACCGCAACGACGCTTCCCGCTTAATCCCTCAGCCTCGCCTATTCCGAACCACAACTCCCATCACCCCCCGCGACAGGAGAGGTCCTTAGCCAACGAGGGCTGTCCCGAAGCGCCTGAACGGACGGGGCACTAACGAACAACCCGGCAGGCAGGCGTTTGGCGCGGACAGCTCAGTGACGCCGGAAAGCCCCTCCTTGGTTGCCCTGTTGGGTGCCCGGCCCAACTGTCAGTCAATGAGTCCGGCTGTGCGACAGGGTGGTGCCTCTTTCCCTGAGAAAGAGAGGCAAGCAGGCCCCCTCCTTTTCTCTACGCCTTTCCGACATTAAGGGATTGGGGTTTTGTTGTGTGACAGACCCTGAATGTGGTTGGGAGCAGGAGGAACCGCCCCGCCCTTCTCCCCTCAGTTGAGATTGACAGGCAGCATGGCCCCGCCCCTTATTTATAGCCAGGAGACCCCATTTCTTTCCCAGATCCCTCACTGGAGAAGATAGATGCCCCCTCTGTGGAAGGGAGGCTCGCCCTTCTCTGAGGAGGGGAAGCATTTGGGGGCGCCGGGCGGCTGTTTCCCCTCCTCTCCTCCCTCAGGATGTTGATCTTGCCTCTGCCTCTGCTGCTTTCTCCGTGGCGGCTGTAGCCCGGGCTCTCCGCGAAGAGAGGGCCCTCCCTCCTCGAGGGCGAGCCATGGATCGCCGCGGGGAGGCCCCCCTCCAGCTCCAGCAAAACCTGGACTTCACCGTCGAGAATGTGGAAAAGGTAAAGAAAGGGAAGGGCAGGGCTGATGAGCAGAACATGCGGCGGGGGCGCCTTCTTCAGGGTTCTAGGTGGCCCTCTGTCGGGAGTGCTTTGATTGGGTACATGGCAGAATGGGGCTGGACTGGATGAACCCTTGGGGGTCTCTTCCAGCTCTAAGCCTCCTCTCTGGAGGTTTCTAAGTAGGGTTATCTGTGGAAAGGGCGCTGATGGTTTGTTATTGTATGGCCTGGGGTTGGCCAGGATGGTCCTTGGGGTCTCTTCCAACTCTAAGCCTCCTTCTCTGGAGGTTTCTAAGCAAGGTTATCTACTGGGAGGGCTTGGGGTTGGTCTGGGGTTGGTCAGGATGGTCCTTGGAGTCTCTTCCAGCTCTAAGCCCCCTTCTCTGAGGTTTTGAAACAGGATTATCTGCTGGGAGGGCTTTGATGGTTTGTTATTGTATGAGTTGATCATTATGCTCCTTGGGGTCTCTTTCAACTCTYGACCTCCTTCTCTGGAGGTTTCTAATCAGGGCTATCTGTTGGTTGACTTCYATGGTTGGTTGTTCTAATGCATGAGGTTGGACAGGATGGTCCTAGGGGTCTCTTCCAGCTCTCCTTCTCTGGAGGTGTCAAAGCAGGGTTATCTGTTGGGAGGGCATTGATGTTTTGTTATTGTATGGCCTGGGGTTGGTCAGGATGCTCCTTGACATCTCTTCCAGCTCTAACCCTCCTTATCTGGAGCTTTCTAAGCAGGGTTATCTGCTTGTAGGGCTTGGGGTTGGTCAAGATGATCCTTGGGGCCTCTTCCAACTCTAAACCTTCTCTGGAGGTTTCAAGGCAGGGTTATTTGCTGTGAGGGCTTTGATGCTTTGATATTGTATGTCCTGAGGTTGGTCAGGATGGTCCTTCGGGTCCCTTCCAGCTCTAAGCCTTCTTGTCTGGAGGTTGCTAAGCAGGGTTACCTGTTGGGAGGGCTTTGACGGTTTGTTATTGTAATACCTGGGGTTGGTCAGGATGGTCCTTGGGGTCTCTTTCAATTCTGTGATTTTATGAGAGGAGTCTGATTCCACCTGCCAGGCGAGTCACCTTGAGGAGAGAAAAAGCAGGGTATGAATAAACATAAACATCACCCCTGCCTTAGTTGGAGTGAAAGAGAGAGCCTCTTCTGACATCCATATCTACACTGCCATATAATACAGTTTGAAAAGGCATTATTATACGGTCAGTGTAGACTCAATGCAGTCCAACTGTATTATATGAGTCTGCACTGACTATGTAATGCATTGTATGGCAGTGTCAATGGGGCCAGGGAGCCAGGAATGTTTAGCTTGTATGGCATGGGGTTGGTCAGGATGGTCCTTGGGGGTCTCTTCTATCTATCTGATTCCATGAGAGGAGGCTGTTTCCACCTGCCAGGTGAGTCACCTTGAGGAGAGAAAAGCAGGGTATGAATAAAAATAAACATCACCCCTGCCTTTGTTGGGAGTGAAAGATAGAGCCTCGTCTGAAATCTATGTGTTTCCAAGCCTGGCATGAGGCAAGGTATTTATTTTCTTCACTTGTATACTGCTTTTCTCGAGGGGGGGGGGGGGATGACTCAAAGTGGTTTCCAACATATTTATGGCAAAATTTAATGCCTCACATACATATGAAACCTAACACAGAACAACCATAATATATAACTATCAATTAGATCATTAAAATGTAACAACATTTAGCCAAGTAAAACGTGGAGTTAAAAACATATATTAATATAAACGCTTAAATCACGCAATCTGTTGTCTTTCTCTGTCTCTTGCAATGGGTTGTAGTGCAGCCTGCCACAAACTCGCATCTACCTTCTCCATCCTGATCTTTTCCCCTTGAATGTGAGAACTACCCTTGGCATTGTTACAGTTTTTGACCAGAGTGCCTTGGGCCGCATCTACACTGCCATATAACACAATTTGAAAAGGCATTATATGGTTAGTGTAGATTCATTGCAGTTAAACTGTATTATATGAGTCTATGTTGATGATTTCATGCCGTTTGAAATGGCATTGTATGGCAGTGTCAATGGGGCCAGGGAGCCAGGAATGTTTAACTCAGAGAAAAGAAGGCTAGGAGGGGACATGATAAAGTAAAGGTACAGGTTTCCCCTTGGCATTAAGTTTAATTGTGTCTGACTCTGGGGGTTGGTGCTTATCTCCATTTCTAAGCTGAAGACCTGGTATTATCCATAAACATCTCCAAAGTCATGTGGCTGGCATGACTGCATGGAGCACCATTACATTCCTGCCAACTCAATACCTATTGATCTACTTACATTTGCATATTTTCGAACTGCTAGGTTGGCAGAAGCTGGGCCTAACAGCGGGATCTCACCCCACTCCCCGAATTCGAGCCATTAACCTTTCAGTCAGCAAGTTCAGCAGCTCACCAGGGGCTCTGTTGTGCGACGGGGTGCTGCCTTTTTCCCAGAGGGAAAACATGATAGCCATGTTTAAATACCTGAAAGGATGTCACATTGAGGAGGGGGCCAAACTTGCTTTTGGCTGCTCCACAGAGTAGGACACAATGGAACAATGGGCTCAAATTGCAGGGAAAGAGAATCTACCTAAACATTAGGAAGAATTTTCTGATGGTAAGAACTGTTCGTTAGTGGGATATATTGCCTCTGAGTGTGGTGGAGTCTCTTCCTCTGAAGATTTTAAAGCAGAGGCTGGACAGCCATCTATTGGAAATGCTTAGATTGTGTGTTCCTGTATGGGGGGGGGGGGATTGACTAGTTGGTCCTTGTGGTCTGTTCCAGCGCTATGATTCTATGACCTTGCCTTAGTTGGACTATGAGTCCTGTCACTAACAGAGCTACCCAATTCGCAGGTTTCTCACAATTTCATAAAGATTTTGGAGCCTTCCAACCCTGCTTCCCTCAAGGAAGAGTGTCATGTTGGGCTTGGCTGGAGAATGACTCTGCTGCTGCCTTGGCAAGGGGGGGGGGGGGAGAGGGTTGCAGAAGCCATGCACTGACCTGGCAGCCCATCCAACCACTCCCWCTCCCCCATAGCTTGTTATGGTTGGAGATGTATTGCTTCTCTTGCTGTAAGCTTTGCCCTTAAGCTCTTTCTTCCAAGTGGACTCCTCTGGTTGGGGGAGGCAGAGTGGTCTTTAAAACCTTTATAGAAGGTGAACTGTCTTCCGATGGGGAAGAGTTGAACATTTTCACTTTAAGGTGCTTCATTCTTCTGGCATGTGTTCTGATCTCCCTTCTCTCTTTTATGTTCTCAGAAGTGTATTCTAGTTTGCAATAATAGTTTTAAAGGCATTGCGGGTCTTAGTGGGATGGGACCTGTTTTTTAAACACATTAGTGTGAGCAAGCACTGAGAGGCTACTGTGAATATTGATGCTGTTAACAATGATCTTTGGTTGTGTTTTGTTTGCAAAACTACAGTTTGAATATGCAGTAGGAAGGTTGCAATCTACAGTTGCAATGCCTTAATGTTAGCCCAATTAAGTATGGTGGGCTTTGTAATTAGATTTGGTGAAGTGATACCAGTGTAAACATTGCACCATGACTTGTTCAAGTCAAAAGTGAGTTCTGTGATGGTCTAACTCTGACTCTAGGATATCACTAATTTGCCCTGCACATTATCTCTTAAGAGATAAGGAATGGAATTGGGGAGAGCGTGGCCCATAGCAATAAGCTTGAAGTCAAAATTTAAGATGGCATAACAAAGAAAGATTGGGAGGAATCTGTGGTAGTATAGAATAAGTTGTAGAACATTGTCTTGGATATAACTCACAGAATCATAGAATTGGAAGGGCTGTCAAGTCCAACGCTTTGCTCAGTCCAGGATCTCCAGCTATATCATTCCTAGCAGGTAGCTGTCCAGTTTCTTTTCGAAGATGTCCATAGAAGGAGACCCCATCATGTCTCTAGGCAGTTGGTTCAATTGCTAAATTGCTCTTAGTATCAAGATATTCCTTCTAATGTTCAGTGTCCTCCTGGAACTTAAAACTGTTAGGTTTAGTTCTACCCACTGACGCTGCAATTGGGAGACTGAATTAAAGAGAAATGCGGTGGCACTTCTCTGAATTAGAGAGAAATGCTGAACTTGCTGACCAAAAGTCGGTGGTTCAAATTAGTGGAGTGGGATGAGCTCCTGTCATAAGCCCCAGCTTCAGCTAATCTAGCAGTTTGAAAACATGCAAATGTGAGTAGATCAATAGGTACCGCTTCGGTGGGAAGGTAACTGCATTACATGTAGTCATGCTGGCCACATGACCTAAAAGATGTCTACAATGCTAGCTCTTTAGCTTAAAAATGGAGTTGAGCACCACTCCCCAGAATCGGACTCGACTAGACTTAGTGTCAAGGAGAAACCTTTATCTTTACTTACGTCTTTTTAAGGATTGCTAGTGAATTCATAACTTAAAGGAGATTGAATGAGGGACTCTTCTGATCAAAACTTACACTCTCACTACTAGGCCAGATTTTTTAACAAAGTCTAAAGAAGTCCCTGCAATCTTCCCTACATAATGACAGAAAGTGTAATGAATGCTAACAGAGGAGGAGGGATGAAAACTGTGCATACTGGTAAAGAAAATGCATGTCCCTTGACAGACCATTTTAACTAGCAGAGCAATTTATGATTTAATAATACCTGAAGTTTCGTTTCTCTAATGCCTCATGCCTTCACTGCTCCTTGCCATCAAAGAGCCAGAATAGGCAATCGTCTTGGCTCTTTGTCAGAGTTATATTCTATACTTGCAGGTTAGAAAAAAAACAAAACAGAAACCCCATGCCCTTCCAGACAGGCCCTATATCCGAGGATCTGATCGCAGGTTTTCTTCTTTAAAGTCCTGGATAAACTGGGATAAACAGAAAACCTGGGATCAGATCCTGGGATATAGGGCCTTGTCTTGAAGGGCCTACAGTGGCAATATTGAGATGTTATTCAAGAATATAGTTTTTATAGTGCTACGTATGTTCTGTAATTTTGCTGAAGTTGCAAGGAAACAAAACAAAAAGAAGACATTGA